AAAAAAAAAATTACTTATTGAGATTTTGATTTTTTCCAGTGTTCAAAGCGAGCCTAAGAAGTGAACAGAATATGAAATGCAATTATTTATAAGCAGGTAAATCATTAAATGTATAACTATAATATGAATAAATATAAAATGTAAAAAATAAAATGTGAGGCAAAGTAACTTTCAAAACAAAGTTTTATTTCTAGATTGCATTTACAAAAGGCGTTTTTATTTTTATATTAATTTTTTTATTTATTTTACAAAACCTGTCCTTATCCTACAACAATAAAGGAGCAAAATTCTCTCCATATCTCTGGAACAGTTTATATTGCGATCTGAATTAATGATACCAGCTATGCAGGCGGAGGGGATTATCAAAGAAAATTTGAAAAAACCGAGCAGCAACCGGCAGCACAGAGTGACAGATGCGAGTCGTGTTGTGGCAACGTGTCAGATAAAGCTGGGCCTCATATGTATGGGGGAACTAATGAATAAAAACACAGCAGCTGAGCAGCATCTGGTTGATGAAAGTCAATTTATCTGGCAGTGTGAAAAAAAAGGGAGAAAATATTGTCTGTGACTGTTTTCTGTCCACTGTAGAGCACCAGCTGTTTATCATACAGACAGCCCCCATCCCCCCACTCTGGGTAAAATACATACATTCTTCATGCCGTCGGTGGGATGCTTGCACACAAGGGACGGGCAGTTTAGCTCATCACCTTTTTCCTTTCAGTTATTTTAGGTTTCTGTTTCCCAGAAAATCTGTGGATCATCTGATTAGATTAAACACGACCACATTCCACTCAGACTACCGTTTACTGTACTTTACTGAGTGCTGTGGTTTACTGTTTGCAATGCAGGATAAACACCAGTCGGTTTGCAGCTTTTTCAAAAAAAAGGACTAAGACTTTAATGGATTTTGTTAAAAAAAACAGCTTAACCAAAAACGTGTCTAAAATGGTAACAAAACCCAATTTAATAACATTTCTTAATTTGCCATGTATGCTTCTGCTGAACTGCCAACCCTCCCCCAACCGTAGTTGTGAGGCATAAAGTAAAAAAGCATTTAACTCTGTATTTAATGAACAAATGCCAAAAAACAAACCAACAGCAGAAAAGAACCGAGCCAGAACTGAACAACCCTGATGACAGCCCTACTGATGAACTAGTACCAGTTTAGCGCGGTTTGGTTGCGCGCCATTTACACTTAACAGTTATCTTGGACTGATCTTGGCACAGTTTCAAAAGGGTGGTGTAAATGGAGCTCATGATTTCTAAATCTGCTGGTCCAAAATGGTAACCTGACTCTGCCAGATGGATTTGCTCCGCATATCCATCTGGCAACCTTCCGT